GCGTGGTATGTGCCGGGTTTTGAGACCACGGGCTCCCCATTTTTTGTGGACTATAGAGCTAGTGTGAGAAACAACAACAAACAAAAACAATACGTAGGCCTGTGTGTGTTGCATGTCGTAAGAAACCACCTACCCTCAGCCCTGATTCTCTGACCCGGCCAACAACACGACCGGTGGTGGCATGAAGATACAACAGTAGTTGAAATGAACGCGGACGATTCCTATGTTTGACGAACTTAAAAAACAGAAACTATAATCGAGTTACGTTGTTGTCAAGACCTCGGTTGTTCTCATAGGGTGTAAGGCATATCTTTTCATCACTACTGTAGTCTAGTATGCATTTGCAGACCTTCCACGCGTGNCGACCTGGTCAACTTTGCTGCCAGCTTTGTGCAGACATTGGATGGAGAGCAAATCGACCCCATCCTACCGGTAAGCGCCGACTTGAAACGAGTGGGGGGGTACCTAACCCGGCTGTTGTGTCGAACGAGGTCTAGACTACACTCCATTTTTTTTTTTCTCAGTGGACAACCTTAACTACTGAGAGCTTCGTAGAGTAAATTCTACCGGATGATTGCAAATATAGTAACAACGACAGATGCATGCGACGAGCCGTACGGCGTGGCGGGAAACGTTGTTGCGGCAGGCTCTGCGCTGATGTCATATTTTCTTCGGCGCCCACAACATTTGTGCGCGATCGTACGACAGGCTCTCCACCACGCGTACATGGCGGGGAAGAACAACAAAGAGAGTAGAGGGCAGGGGGGGCAAGTACGAGAGGGTGGGGTGGTGGTGCCTACAAGCGAAGATCCCGTGATAGTGGAGGTGAGTCCTGCTACGGTAGCACATTTCGGCCCATCATATGTGGATTCTTCAGAAATGAATTTCTAACATCAACTCCGAATTTGAACGTCAGTTGTGTTTCATCTAGCCGTTCGGAAGACTTCTCGCGTCGTACGCTCATATGGTGTCAGTGTCCGTCCCAGGCTGATATATCGCGCTTGCATGTGTGAAAACTCAGACGCGATTCATGCACCCCTACTTGCATGAACCAGGTATTTTCGGTTGACACCGACGTTTGGATCGCAGCTCTCCAGGCGTACGCCGTGCATCCGTCGACTCGGGATGTGCGTATCACCGTGCGACAACAGAGCGGGGTGACCGGTAATACCAATGTCCACTGCATCGACGTGCTGAAGCTTTTCCAATATCTAACAGCAATGCGAAATCGGCCATCTTCGTTCACCAACTTGCAGAGGGTGTTTCCGATAATCTCCGCATACGTTCTAACGGGACTGACTTTACTCCAACGCTGTCTAACAAAAGAGACGGCAGCAACATTCAACGTGTTGATTTAGGAGCTTCATGTGAGGGAAAGTGAACCAAGGGCACACATACATACCGGTCGCCCCGGTGGTCTAGTGG